CTATCTCACTCCCTCCGTATACTTGCATGTTCTTGACATAATTTAAAAGGTTCTGCTGACTATTATGTAATCTAGGATAGATTTTATACCTCTTGCTTCCCAAGTATATTTATGTTTATCTTTGTGTTTGAAAAAACTATTAGTTATTTCCAGGTTATTGAATAAGCAAAAGTTCAGTAGAGTTTTACCATTTTCATTCATTATCATTTTATATAGCTATTATTATAAAACTATTATTTTCTCTAAATACAAGATTAGCACAATATTCTGCAATCTTTGAAATTATTTTGCCTTTCTGCATTAACAATGAATTCATTTCCTAAATTTATTTTCTCTTTACACATCGATTTGTTTCCGTTATCCTACATCATTCACTATCTCTTTGTTGTCAAAGGTGTACCTGTCAATTAACAACAACAGAAATATTTCAGTTAAACAATCCCTCAAAAACTATGATGTTTGAACTCTTATCTTGGATTTGCTAAGACCAGCTTAACTTTTGGAACTTAATTCATGGAATAAAGCAATTTTCAACATGGCAGAATTCAGTTGGAAGTAAAATAAAATAATATTTCTAAACAATATTCAAAGAGTTTTGTTGTCTTGTAAGAGAAAATCAATGCAGAAAATGAAACCAAAAGTACTGTTAGTTAAAAAAAGGAACAAAATACATGCCACAAGAATTATTGTATTCCTCACTACAACCTTACATATATGTTTATTTTCAATTCAACTACTAGTTTCCCAGTTTCACATTTCCCTTCATTCAACTAAAGTGTGTTTATCCCAATCCAATGCTTATACTTTGAAAACAAATCACTCATTCCTTTACATCATAGTTATTCTGTAACAAATAGAAAAATTAAGACCGTTACCATTTAGTAATATGAGGAAAAGAGTTATGCCAGGAGAAAAAAAGCAAAGAAACATGAAGTCTAAAAAGCATGCTCAACCAACAAGCAACTTCTTAATTTCCAGGTAAACCATTTCTTGCCTTCTCTTCTTTACATTTTCTCTCAGAGGCTGGAAAGGAGAAAAGGGAAATAAATTTGAAAACTTACAACTAAAAGTTGTTCTATACATCTCTGCTGTACCACCATTGAAGCTGGTTCTGCTGACAGCTCTAAAATGGTGCAGTAAAAGTCCTCGACATTTTAGAAACCTTTAGACTACCTCTCATATTTGAAAAATTTTCTTCATAAACTTTTTTTCTAAACTAGCAACATCATCTTTCAAAGCAAAAAATGTACCACTACACAGATCTTTAGTAAAGTTTAATAATATTGATCATTTAATACAGAATTTTCCAAAGGGTATTTTCAGAGTTCAGTTACAAACAAATGCCTCTTATTTTTTTCCTCAGTAATGTATTTGGATATGGGGATAATTCAAATTTGGAGCACTTTTTCAGACCTTGTGCTTTCCTTCCCAGTAACAGAGCTGCTGGTCAACAGTTGGTACCACAGTAGTCATGCAAAATGGCTGATATTAATGTGTGGTTAAAACAATGAGCTATAGTTGAATTCTTGAATTCAGGTCAGATCCCTATTTGCATCTAGAAACATTTTTAACAAGTATCAAAGAAAAAGTACAATGCACTATTCAGCAGTGGGTTTCTATTTGTCCAGAAGTCGAATATTAAGAATACCTTGACAACCTTCCTCATATGTGCCGTGGAGTAGTAACTGTGGAGAATATCCAGTGCATCATTGACATCATTCACTAGGAAACCATTAGCGAATTGTGCTCTTTATTGTCAATAGGAAAAGGTGGCATAGGGATAATCAAAGCACAAGAAAGTTTATTCAGAAGTTTGTGTTTGATGGGTACCCAAAATGCTGACACAATCCAATAAAGATGCAAGGAAAACAATAGTACCATATAAGGTGGGAAGAACAACAGATCTTATCAAAAATGATCACAGGTGAGAAAACATACACTTGTAATCAGAGACAAAAAAGACAGTCTGTGAAATGGTGCCTCTCCACACCACCTTGAAAGAACAAACACGGAAGAACACTTCTGCAGGAAAGTAATGGCTACCATCTACTGGGATGAACAGAAATGGTTTCTTGTGGACTTTTTGGAGCAAGAAACGGCAACTAACTCTGAATAAAAAAAGAGAGGGGTGGGGGGAGAGTGAGAGAGGGGGGAGAGAGGGGGAGGGGAGGGAGAGAAAGGGAGGGAGGGAGAGAGGGGAAGAGAGGAGGAGAGAGAGAGAGAGATTAGAGATTGTTCTCAGCGAGTTTGTCCTTTGAAAAGACAGGCTAACTGTGCTCACAACAGCAGTAATTACAGAATTTCAGAGGTAGCTCCTTCCTCATCTATCTTATACATCAGATCTTGCTTCATCTCACAACCATCTTTTTACACATCTAAAGAAAACTTAAGTTACAGTTCAGTTACATGGAATAATTTGAGAATTCTCTCTCACTTCAAGTGTCCTCCTTTCTGCACATCAATAACAGTTACCTGTGCAATTATCAAGAATCATCTGTGCAAATGCAGGGACATAAAACCAGGAGGGGACGTGGCCGTGGCAGAGGGGGGTTTAAAAAAAGAAACAACCCCACCTCAGAAATTGTTACTCCTGTATGTCCAAACTACTCCATTGCTTGGAACTCTCAGGTTGTCTACCACCCCTAACTGGTAAGGTACTTGTAGAATTGGTAAAACCAAAGAGGAAACAGTACAGAGGTTCTGCCTAGTGGAGAGATTACCTCAAAACTTGCATCATCCAGAGATAGCACTACCATTGGAAGTTCTGCAGACGGTTGTGATAGAGTAAGAAGAGATAGTTATCAAATGAATACCAGCAAATATCTTTCCTCTAGGCAATAACAATAACTAGCTGAATGTGGCATCACCAACACTTTAAATTGTTTTAAATATATTTTCATAGTTAAAAATCAGTTGGCAGGTTCTTTCATCTTCAGGCATAGTATGCAAAAGGGAATCAATTAGGAACTAAAATTAAATAATAAAACAAATACACAAAATTTGGGGTCAAAATTTTTCTTGTTGAATGTTCTTTTGGGTCATGATCATTACCCTCCCCAGAAAGTGGTGTTGGGAGAACTTAATTTAAGCTCTCTCAGAAGATTTGTTCTGAAGAGTACATTCTTACAGTGCCCAGCAGCATATATTAGACAGCTTGTACATTTGCAAGCTCGTATTTTAAAATACACCATTTCATTCTAGTACATTTATTTTATTTTATTTATTTATTTATTTATTTATTTTTGTACATAAGGCAGCAGAAAACTGATAAAAGTCACAATTGAAGTATATTGAACAAAGTTTGAATTAGTTTAAAGTATAATATATGCTAATGATTTTTTTTATCTAATATCACATACAGAGGAGAGAGTAAAGTCTCTTAAATTGGTATAGAGTGCTGGCTAAGATGATGTCATGAGAAAGGTTATATTGGAATATAATTTTGTAGTCATAGCAGAGTATCAACACATGTTCTCACTAATCACTCAACTCTTCCACAGAACTAAATGTATGATGGTGGTGCTGTCTCTGAATGGGCGCAATATTTTGGAGTGAGTCTATAGGCCCTGACTGAAATCTCTATTCGCTCTTACCACTATAATAAAACACAGCTTAAAGAAATTTGCAGACATTCATTAGAAACAGATAGTAAAAGAAAAAAAAAAGAAAGAAAAAAGGAAAGCTTCAGCCACCAGAGGGGACATGCTAAGCAAAGGACAGACAAGGAAGTGTCCCTCCTCACATTAGAGAGAGGTTTGCAGCAGTTCACTTAGACTTTCACAGCAGCACTGTTTGCTATTATACTACTAAAATTCTAAATCACACTTTTGAAAAGAAAAGAACACAAATTAATCTAAATCTTTGAGCCAGTGAAGGTCATAGTTAAAATGAATAGCAAATTTTCCTCAATTTAATAAACTTTTAAAACATATTTGCCCATCAATATTAAGAAAATGTCAATACACTTTCCACAAAAGCATTGATATTATCAACTTATGATTTTTCTTGCATTGAAGTTAATTATTGTTGCTCTGTACAAAAATCATGGAATGCATTTTTTCAGTAAAGAAACTTTGGGATCTGTGAAGGTATAACTATTATTTCTTAGCTGTTTATTTTAAATAAAAACCCTAGAATTCTTCAAAATTATGATTGAAAGTGTCATTCTTATGCTCTTTCAAGAATTTTCACCTTAAAGACGCAGTTTGAAGAAAGATAACAAATGACCCAACAAATGATTTATTTCTGTTCCAACATCATCACAGTAAAAAGTTTATTTTTTCAAAAGAGAGAAATCCATGTACATAAAGTAAAAAAAGTAAGCAAATTTGAAGAAGAAGAAAACTGATAGCTGACAGCGTGACAGGCAAAACAGGAACAGTTTATTCACAGCCCTTATTATCAACAACTTCCAGGATTCTTTTAATTCTGGCCATCCACTATCTTGATATCAAAGAAAACTGAACATGGCACTGGTTCCAATTATATCGGTGCAAAGAACTCAAATAGTAGTACCAGGCTTTTCCAAGATCCAAATAATGTTAAATCCTTCTCACAAATAGCACATTCTATCTCATTCCTTTTACTTACAGCAAACTGTTTACCCTCACTCAATAGTGCTAGTAAGCTCTGTAAATGCTCTACAAAATGATAGTAAAGTGAACTCACTTAATGAAATGAAAAACTCTTGCCATCAATACTGAAAACTTAAATTCTGCAATCATTTTATCTATATTGAAATTTTAAAAAAAGGACATATAAAGCAAGAGAATCCTTGGAATCCCAATGTAAATTCATTTTCCACATGGAAAATAATTATAATCAATACAATGGATCTCTCTCTCCCCCTTTTCCCCCCTTCTTTTCTTTCTTCCTAAAGGCAGTTGTGCTAATCATTTGTAGCTTCAGTGAACAGTGCATCATTCCTTTCTCTATTGGGAGTGGGGACTTCAAGGGTTAGTGGCACCTACATGTCAGAGGCTGTCGAGTTGGCTACTAACCCGGACCACGCGTACTTCGCCAACCCCACCCACGATGTGTCAAGTGATGACACCACCCTTGGCTGCACCACAACTTCTTTGCCATTGGTATGGCATGCTTTGCACACATAGAGCCGGTTTTCAAATTGGTGCTGATACCTGAAACACAACATCTCTTTAGGGAAGAGCAAATAAAAAAGTAATAAACACACACAACATTCATATGAAAAATATAGAATCTTTTAGATCCTAAAAAAAATATTTTGAAGGTCATATTTGTTGTAAAAGCAAATAAACATATCTTTGCCACAAATGGTGATATGCAACTTTAGGTTATTGGAAGGTTAAGTGTCAACTTCAAAGAAGTCATGTACCATCAGTGGTGACAACCATATTTATTATTAAATTGTGCCAACTTGTTGATTGCCAATTATTAAGCAATCATATTTTGAAACCCCCTCCAGCTTTTCAAATACAACAATTGAGCACAGACAAAAATTTAGACCAAAACGATGTCTTAACAAGATAAAAGAGACAATAAAAAACTAATATTCTACATTGTTAGCACTGAGTAAAAAAAAGTAAGAAGCAAGAAAAGAGACCATTAACTTTAAAATTCTCTGTGGCAATATTGCACAAACAACACAATATTATCTACATTCTCAGAAACTATGAATTAATGAAATTGATCACAAATGAATGAATTACCAAACAATAACAATCAAAATTCATAAAATTGATTGTGGTTTGGGAAAATTAGAATTTTCAGGTGGGGCAATAAAAATTTATTTTGAAAAAAGAACTGATGATCAGTAACAAGATAGTTTTCAGAGGGATTTAATTGTTTAATAGTTTCCTTAATTTTATCAGTCTTCACAATATTCATTAACCATTTCTAGATTATATGATTATGTATTTTGAATACATTACGCTTTGGAAATAGCGTATACAAAATCCTATACACAAAACTGAGCATTCACAGTTAACAAGTGCTTTCCATAAAACATCAAATCAATTCAATCCTAAGTGATACTTGTTAATGACAAATCATCTGAAATGCAATTGTATAGCATTCTTGTACAGCTTGGCCGGAATTTTTTAATACCCTTTCACAGTATTTTCAAAACTGAACAATATTCCATGGAAAAGAATTTTCTAGAAATAATAAAAGAAAATATTCATCATATTTTTAATTAGTATGTACCATATTTAATAGAATATAAAACAAATTTTTCCTGAACATCTCAGTTTAAAGGCAGGCTTGTCTTATAGTCACCGATTAAACTTAGTCGATTAGGGTTTAATTTGCCATTCCACGTCACGAAACTTGTAAATGTTGGTGTAATAATTAACTGCGAAGATGGTAAAAATTTTGCAAGTACTATATACAATATGCAATTATACTTGCAATTGCATTCACAGCATCTATCATGAATTTGCTGGGCAATTCAAACTGATATTTTTGAATGGGCTGGTAAAGAGAGAATCTTAAACGAATGGTATTATATCAAGTGAAACGTAACGTGAAAACGAATGCCGCAATTTTTGTTATGATGCACGTTTGATGAAGCCGTACGGAATCTTTGTTAGACATCCATCGAGTGAGAATCTACATTTTTAACTGTTAAAGAAACAGAGGTCATCAAAACTGCGGGTTAGATAGAAAATCTACAGACACAGAAGGTAATGTTCTTAGTCATTTCATGTCCGATGAAAGACTAAGAACAAAGCAAATTCAATGTGCAAAACTTTCAGAGGTGCCTAAACAAATTAGAAGATATCGCAACATGAAAAGAGGACCAAAAAGAATAAAACATTGATACATGTGAAGATGATGAGGATAGTGACAAAAACTGTTATGATTTTAATGAACAAGAAAATTTCAGTTCAGCAATAACCCTTAACATTCTTATCAACAAGGCAATTTTCAAGTCAATAAGACAATTTGCAATTTTATTTTTACTAAATATTAAGAATTAGTTAAAAAAATTAAAAAATTCTCAGGAGGCCTCTTCTAAATCAGGGGTTTGCCTCATATTCATAGTTGACTTGTATTTGGGTAAATACAGTATATTCTTTTAACAATATCAAATCCAAAATTCTATTTTCAAATGTTTCATTGCTCTTTTTGTCTTAGTTTTAAAATATTTACAGAGACTTCCTAAGTATCAAAAGGAAGAGCCTTTGGGTATTTACAAACACACTACTAATGAGGATCATCTGCCACCAACTAAAGTCCAAGAAGACGTAAACAGACGCAATGACCACATTAACTGATAGGCAGTTTGCCAACTCTTTCACATTATCAAGGACACTTCTCTTCTGGCAAACGATCTCAGCAAATGATGACGTTTCACATTGGTAATACAAGGATATCTTTACAAGCAACCCTGAATTACTTATGTAACCAATATGACATTATTTTTTTTCACTTCTTTGAATTTTAATTGAGCTTTCTAAAAATATGTATGTATCTAAATTTTTCCTCATTAATATTAAATAATTATCAAAATAGGTTGACAATTCACAATTATATTTAGTACATTTTATATGAAACAAAACAAAATGTACATAAACGAATGCTAGAAAACAGAAAATAAGAAAGGTCTTTCATAACAAAAGCATTTAAAAATACTGAAAATGTTAATTTTTTTTTTACATTACCAACTCTCTTTTTCAAACTAGAATTCAAACTTACATAATTCTGCTCGCAAACAAATATTATATATTCTCACGCAATGTTAAAAACTAATAACATAGAATCATTGTCCTTTACATGGTATTTTATATTCCTAGAAAATCCATATTGTTTTAAAAATGATATATGTAGTTCTAAATTTTACTTAAACTCAACCTTAAACAAAAAGGACAAATATATTGATTCATAGAAATATACTCTTAGGATTTCATAAAGAACAAAATTACAAAGATTAACCTAATTTGATACAGACATGTAGTACCGGCAAATTATTTACAGTTAGGCCAACTTTCCTTCTATGCCTATAGTAAATAACCATTATTCATTTAGACTGAACTGTTTTGTACTATGAAGCATCATCTTAAATAAATAATCCTTTCAAGAGAGTGACTTTCAGTGTGCATGTATCGTAACTACATAATTAATTTTTTTTAAAAACACATATTGTTACAAGAAACGTCAAATATTTTTTTAATCTATAATTTTAAGAGCATCCTGGACAATTCTGAAACTTTTAGAAACTTATTTCAAACAAGGAGAAACAAATTTCACATAAAAACATGCATTTTCCTTAAAATTTTTAATTACTGAAACAACATTAAACATTTTGTTTCCCTTGAGCAATCTTGATTTTCTTAAAGATTAACTACATATTTATAATTTTGCTGGAAGTAAATACACATTTATAATTTATTATATACTAAACATGTACATTTTATTTAAATAAAATGGAAGTTCTATGATCATTTTACAAACATATTTCTCTTTTCAGAAACTTCAAATAATGGTTCTTCATGGTTTAAAATTATGAATTTACTCATCTGCAATGTTCAAAATGTTAGGCAATGGCTAGTCTAATACTCTATCAATAAGAAACATTCTTGAAAGAATAATGTCTCACCGGCATCTCGCAGCACTGCAGTGTGCAAGACCTTCTTTGAGATGGCCCATGCTCCGATCGCATCGCTGTTCGCACGACATACAGGTAACTGGACAGGTGAAATACTGGTCTGGAAACAACACTGGGGCTGTGTTGGCGATTTCTCCACTGAACTTGTCATTCAGCAGCTGAAATACAACATGTCATCTTGAATCAAATGAAGTGGACTTCAAAGCACATGTTCATTAACCCTGTAACAACAATGGTGTGCCTGTACATCCAGTGGAATCCGTGCCCTGTGTGCTATGAATGTATTTGCACCTCCAAGACGTGCAGCCCCCATTACTTTGGACTTATAGGTGCGTTCTCCCTGATGTTTGTTTTCCTTATTTCAATGATCATGTATTAAGCTTAAACAACTGGGATGACGTCTGGGGTCTTTCTAAGGTTCTAAGTTTTTCTTTCATTGCTAATAGATGGAGCTAGGTCATTTTTCTCAGGTCTGACCAGTTTTACCCACTGACAGCACTGTGCAACGGCATGAAGCATACAGCACATCACACTCAGTAGATGAGTCAGCACAGCGGACATACCAGTGGCATGCAGGAATTAGCAGACAATGGGTAAAAGCGAAAAACTAATAATCACACTTGTATAAATCAAATTAAGACTTCTGTATAATCTGTCCTATCAATTCTGCTGTTACAAAATTAATAGCAATTGATACTGACATACTCCATAAACTATAAAAAATCAAAAAAAGAAACTAAAAAGTACTATTTTAACAGAAGATTAAAAATTACAAAAATCAAGAAAGGACTTTTACTCATTTTTACCTTTTATACAGTCTATTTGCCATTACCTTTCTTTAAGTATTTGATGTTCAAATATTTTTCACACGGACTGTGTTTTTCCTAATTATTTAATATCATAATAAAAACTAGTGAATTTACACCACATTAAAGAAAAAAGTATTTGGAAAAGGTGAAGTACAGTCGACAAGTGAGTAAATTTAAGAATGTGTAAGAAAACACTGAATGAAAGCAATGGATGTGAAGGGGAAAAGTGAAGGAGGAAAAAAATAGGAAAAATAAGAACACCACAAGACTAAAGGTAGAAACTTACTTTCAGTGTATGATAAACAACTTGAGGTTGCCTTGGAGAGCGAACAGCAGTGTTCTCCAACTCAGCTTGGACAGCGGCTCTGAGCTCCGAAAAATCAGTGGGTGGCTGCGTAGTCTGAATTCCCACATAGCGCAGAGAACTAAATGCTTCTATCTCCAGTTTGCTCTGAGCAAATCGGCTGCGAAGGAAGTCCTCAGCACTCTCGTTCAGAGCTACCACACAAACAAAGAAAAAATCACATAAAAAATACATAACACTTAAAAGGTTCTAATAATGAAACAGGAACTACAGATGGAACCAAAACCCTACACTGAGATCTATCCCTCACACCTCCCCATACTGATAAAAGATTTAAAAATTGGGTTGGGTCAAGTAAATCTTTTCACTCTGATATTCACTTTTGCACACACTGTATGAAAAGGAATAAAACTTGAAATTTTAAATATGGTATTTATATTTCTCAACAGTGATAAAAATAGTTCTTTCAAAACCACACTTGCTACTAAATTTAAACATTCCGTTATTAACAATTTTTATTACATGTCTACCTAATTCACTGTTAGAAAATGAAAGACAAAATGCATAACTGAACAAAGCATTTTTAACAGGTACTGAATTTATAGGAATTTCTTTTAGAGAAAACAAGCTCACAAGTCTGCAGAGTTCGTGTGTGTCTGGTCTCGTGAAAAATGATGACTGCTGGTCCCAGTGCAGAAAGAGGGCCTCCAAACTGACTGCGCTGCCCTACATTCTGTAGAGCAGATTGGAAATGCTGCGTATAGGCACGTGATGCAGAGCCCAAGAATCTAAACATGTCTTGATGAAGTCGTTCTGAACGGGTGCGGTATATCACCAGATCTGACACTGCCAAAATCTAGAAACCAAAACCAAAAAAATGGAATGTTAATATTAATTTCCTCCTGTCATCAAAAAAATTGAAGTGGCATTACAAAAACAAAAGAATCATTGCCTATCTTAAATTACATTTCAAATAAGTTATTTTTTAATTCCAGTTTTATGAACAACAAATTATTACAATATTAAATATTATAACATTTCCAACACACTCTAAATTTATCTGTTACTGCAGTATGCTTCCTCAACTAATCTTTGAATTTTTTGTCTGACCTACTCCACAAATTGATTAAATCATGGCTGTTTAAAGGCAGCAAGAAGAACAAATTTTAACACATTTGGTTTGCATTTCTTTGAATTAAAGCAAGTGTACTCTTCATTAGAAACTACTCTGTATATTTGAAGAGGTCACAATTCTATGCAGATTGTAAATTTAATGCATCAGATAATACGATACAGAAGATGCTTCATAATTCAAACATTATTATAACAAAAATATCCATGATATTCATTCCCTATGCAATGGGCAAGAATCTGATGTTAAATTTCCTATATTGAATGTTTTTAAGGATACAAAACAAAAGCATAGCATCTTTAATCACATTACCAATAATTTATTATTTGTTTCTGTAAAATTTGTCATTTTTGAGACATACACTGTAAAACAATCCCATGAATAACGAAAAAGGTAAAGAAAAAGCTCAATACAAAACATCTCATTATTTTCATTATAATCTGTAAGCAAAGGAAAAACATTTACTGTTACTACCATCTTACTAACATAAAAGTGCACATGCTCAAAACATGATAAAGTAATTAATATAGCTAACATATTCTTTTAACAAACTCAAATTCCATTATATGACTCAATACACACCCCTCCCAAATATCAACATGTTGTACACCATAATTTTGGAAAATTAAATTAAATTCACAAAAGCTTAAAATTTTTTTACTTCATTAACGTCAGGGCATGTCATATTCTTTTCTTTCAATACTGTTTATCCCTCTCATTCCGTTTTTTTTAGTATTATATTAAATTATATTATATTAGTATTATAAAATTAAAAGGGTAGACTAAGACATGGAGGCCACACATTTTTTTGAAGCGATAATTCTCCATTATCATAGTTAGGACCTGAAACACCATAAAATGCATTGGTGCAATAACTCAAAAAGTGCATTATTAAAAAGGTGATTTATAACGTAATTCCACACAAATGCAGCAACAAACTAAAGACTACCCACAATAATTGTGGCCTTGCAAACCCAAAGACACTAAGTATCAAAATTTTCAAAACGGTTTTGCAATATAAATATTATATAAATCTGTGCCAATACAAGTTAAGAGCAATGTTCCAAACATCTTCCCAGTAGTTGTAAACATATACTTAGAGATGGCTCCAGTTGTAGGTCAAGAATATGAGTTCATACAGTTGTTATTGATTCCCCCCACCAAAAAAAACATTTTTGGCGCTTAGTTCCTTGGCAATGCAAGGCCTCAATATAATACTCATTTTGAGAGAACATTTCTCATTTGCTTTTTCCAAGTTGTCTCCCGTCACAAAGTAGAATCCCTCTCCGCCACCCACCTTAAGCAGCAGCCGCGTGCGCTGGTTCTCATGAGTGGTGTTACCAAGGAGGCCCTCCGTATCCAGACAAATGACCCTCAGCTGGGGGTCAAACGCAGCCCAGGCTCCCAGAGTACAAGAGTTCTGCTCTGAAGACGTTCTGAACACTTCAACACCTCCAAAGAACGTGTGGTTGAGCGTGTGGGATTTGCCATCTCCGGTGTTCCCAAAGACTGACACCACCTTCACTCGAGTCGATCCTTCACAACTGAGTCTTCCCAGAAACTGTTCCACAGATGAAACCTTCACAAACACAAACAAACAGATTTTAAAAATATAGCATAAATAATGTAGTTTAATGTGCACAAATGTATTTTCTCAATGAACACGTTTTGTTTAGCTCACATTTTCTAGTAGTGGTAGGAGTAAAGCTGTGGGTATGTTACTATTTTGTTAGCAATACAAAAAAATTAAAAACTGCGGTTTGTTTATTTATGCAAATAAGTGTTCTATAACTTGGGAGTAAAAAGTATAGTTTTCAAAAGTCGCTAACTTAGCTTTTTTTGAAAGTTTTATTCATTTTTCAACTATTTATAATTAAAATGTTGGGAAAAGAATAAGGTGTTCAAGAAAGCGTGAACAGATTGTACTTCTCTCCCTCATAATTCACATAATTTGCCTAAAAATTTATTTTAAAAAAAAGCATTAATATCCTATGATGGGCCAACAATGCCCAGGACTAAGTAGGCTCTAAAAGGTTAATTAGCACAACACTAACTAATTCATTAATTTGTTGCCGACATGAAATCAATAAGTCACAGAAAAACAAATCGGTACAGCCTGGAGCAAAGTAGTCCAAGTTACAAATAGTAGTAAAGGATAAAGCTGTGAAACGAGTTTCCATTAATGTGGTTTAATTGTGGTGCATTAAGTGAAACATTTACATGCTCAAATTAGGTAGCATGGAAATTGACATTATGTACTAAAAACGGACATTTATAAAGCAATGCTACTTAGACCATTTATGAATAACAAACAAATTAGAACATGAACCGATTCTAAATTGGAATATTCGGATTAAAAGAACTTGCAGCCAGAAATTATATATAGATCCACTTTTGTTTGTACAATTGATTAATTGTTAGATTAAAACTTACTACTATCTGAATTTTGGCAAACTTGTTATACATACTACTTTAGTCCCAGACTAGCCATTTAAAATTAGTTTATAAAAAATAAATTAGATAAAATTAAAAAACGTGCACAATTTATTTAAGGACCAAATTTGAAACTGTCAAGAAAAAGAAATTAAAACAAAACATTACATTAATTTTTGTACCCGATTTTTTTGTTGTCCCTATAATTTTACACCATAAGACCTAGTCTTTTTGTAATTTTTATCAATTATAATATATTACTTTTCTATTTCTTCTGTTCCTTTTCCTACTTAAGTGAAATAAACTTCTTTCAACACAGAATTATCTAAAAGTATCTTCCAATAACAGTCAGCAGTAAGAGCTATCTATTCTCCAAAGACAAACATATTATGACAACTGATTAATTTACATAAAATTTTATTACCATCCTCATTAGCATATTAGTAGATATTCTTCAATACTACATTGTTATTTGAATTAAGTATTATTTGGGAAAAACATTAAAACAACTATTTCAATTTACAAATATTTTACAAAAAAAGGGATACAAAACAATTCCTGGAGGTATAAAGATGCTAAATCATACTATTCTTCCAATGAAAAAAGGTTTCACTATTACAATTTGGTCCTAGTGGTTTTAGAAATGTCTTACAGATTAAAATATTTCTACCAAAGGGAAAATTAGAAATGTTTTTTATAGCAAAATATCTTTGAATTTTCGAACTCAATATGTTTGCCTTTTTTCTGTCAGTTTTAGTTTGCCCAATTATAAAACAATTCTACTCATTTTCAAAGCAATTTTAGTAAAATATGTTGAAAATAGATTTTTTTTAAAATTGTTCCCCCAATAATTAGAATTTAGTCTATGGATGTAACAACTGAGAAAGCATTCAGGTATTTGACAAAATACAAACATTTGGACATTAAAAAAATAATCATCTGACATCACGTCTGACTAGGTAGGGTATGCCAGGCAGCTTAATTCACATTTGAAATTATTTTACTGTCGTTTTCTGTTCATGGCTTCTAGGAAGAAAGCTAATATTAAAAATGGAAAAAATACACCAAAATTGTTCTACGCAAAATACCAATATCATTCATCAACTTTGTGGAGATTATTTCCTTTACAATACCATGGATTACCACAAGATATCCGCTACCACCACGGAATTTACAATACCAATATCATATTCATACAATAAACATTATTTTTTTAAGTATGCAATAATAACAAAGAAACCCTAAAACAATACCCGATATGATTAATCTTAAGATAGAGAAGCTCTCAATGAAGTGCATTCTGAACTGTGACAAAAGATAAATATTAAGAAAACAATAATTCATTTCAATAACACACAACACCAAGTTGACAAACAAAGGAAACAACCTACCTTCAAAAGCTCCTTGCCATCAATAAGTAAGAAGCTGCCTCCATTTGTATCTTCTTCGGGCCCCAATTTCAGAGAAGTAAACTCTGAAGTTATCGTTACATCGGGTCTAAGTCCTACAGATGATTTATGGGGTTCCGAGTATGGTTCGTTCATGAGTCTGCTGTTGCACAACAGAGAAGCGTCAATGGACTCCATAATCGCCGGAGAGTTGCTCTGTTCGGTCCTTTTGAACCGCTGGGAACCTCTCTGCACCGAATTCAGAGACTGATCCATGTTCCTCGGTTGCTGAGAGTCATCTTGGTACCACGGAGTACTATCAAGAGTGAATATCATTGTGTGTTAATGTTCAGGTTATGATAATTGTCGTCGAGCGCACTGGAGACATAATGTTCATGTTTTCGGAGTAGCGCACATAAAGAACAAGTCCCCTCATGAGTTTATTTTTAAAGCCACGAAAATCACAAAAAGAGCAACACAACTCCTAAGTGCACTACCTGTCACAAGTATTTAACCCGAAAACAAAGGAAACGCACAGTACCCAGTTCGTCTCTTCTTCCGCGCATCCTTCCTACTTCTCGATTCACTTCATTGTTAATGTTTTATGATCAATTATGTCACTGACGTGATAAACAAACCAATCATATGTACAAGTTCGCTGAAAATTTCACAATAACCCGAATGTTGAGTCATGTGCTTTAAGAAACTGTAATCTAATCCACTAGAGCGCGAGGTCAACAAAACAATATATCGATAACCACCCACTTGCAAGTATGAAAGTAGTCCGACTGACGATCCAACTGCATTGAAAAAAATAGCATTGAACGTCACCAACAAACAGCAAAACCGAGAAAACGTCCAACTAGCACAACATGTGGCAGTATGTGACGTCATTAGCAACTGACATATATCTCACGAGCTTTCAACTCCATCGACGTAGTAGTCGATCATCTGGAAAACACCTTGTGTAATTTGTTCTACGATGTTGGCACTTTCGCACGTGCAAAGGGGTGGGGCATTTTCGTGGGCTGACTTGATTTGTTTTATCGCCGAACATAAACAGAACGTATTAAGTTATCCGCTGAATCTTTTTGACATGCAAGTTCAAGGTCAACAATAAAAAGTCGCAGTTATTGGTGTAATTATGCCCTGTCATACCGCGCATTGCGACTTTTTTTATTATTGTAAAGATACATACCGCCCTCGCCACACATCTGTAGGGCTCATGCGTCGTATGTTGACAAGCGGGAACATTGTTTATTTAGTTCTGCAAAAAACGCTTTGACAAACAAAAAGTTGTGTACGCATTCCTGAAAGTATCTTGTGAGACTAGCGCTGATTTTTAGCGAAGGTCACTCAATCAAAGGCTTGTGCTTTACTAATATGCGTTTTCACGCGATAACGTATTTCTTCTTTTCGGAAATACGTGGCGATAGTGTGTAAACCCACTTCACCTAACAACACTCAGAAGTCAAATCTTAATATTGACAATAGCTGCACAACGTGGTTGTTTCCTTATCAGCGATACTTATCAATGCGCTAAAACGGAGCTTCCTTTGTTACTTGCAAGCGACGGTGTAGTCGGTTGTTTCCTATCTCCGGAGAGACGACTGTCAGCGTAAACAAAAGAATGTTGCAACACTTACCAAAAGCTATATGGTATATTCTGTGACGCAAGGGATGTCGTGCGGTCATTAGCAGTGTGGGGTTGTCGAATTCTCCCACTAAAGGAAAGGTCATATGCCATTTCTCAGAGGATGTGAGCGCTAGCTGGAAAAAGAAAAAAAGTGAACGATGCGTCGCGCGAGTGACATGCCTCTGTCACTTGTTTGCATTCAGAACTCCTGGAGTGCAGTGGTCTGTTTCATACGCCATCGAATGCTGAGGGCGCGGAGGGGCCTCTCCTACGTCATTAGACTATCTCTTCGTTAGTCATCCAGAGAGAGCCTTTGTTGCAGAAGACAAACTGCGAGTAGAACGTTTTGCTTTGAAAATAAAGTTCCAGTGGCAGGTGTTATTTTAACAATGACGCATTTGAAGGAGTTGTGCTTTTAATTGACGTCGACTCATCCCACAATTGGATTGGCTCCAGATTCAAATAGGCGTAGTCGTGAAAGAAAGTTTAAAAAACCTTATTTTTTGGCATTTTGTATTAAACAAAACATTTTGTAATTATTAAACAAAATTTGTTATATATTTTAAGGTTTTTAATTTTTTTTTAACAATTTTGATTCCATACAGATCTAGCTTCACCAGTAAATTCTATTATTGCCATAAACGCGAACAAGATTATGTAATCTCGCCATGCACAATTAAGTTCGTTCTTTAGTTCAAAATAAACACCAAAAAGCAAGAAATACTCATCAATACACACACAAAAAACACAATCACAACTTCAAACCAACTCAATATTTTTTCAATTCAATTTCCGAGTCCAAACTTCTCTATAGACCTTTTTGTCTTTATCTTTGTTACACTGTCCCGAAATAGTAAATGTTTTGGAACAATTTTAAAATACAAATAAATATTATATTTCTGATATTTTTAATTATTTGCCTTGTGATATTTAAAATGTATTTCGAGGGAAATAACTTAAATTCAACAAACCAATCATTGTGAAAACGAAATTCATAAGGTGAGACAGTAAAATCGATGTCAATAATTATGACCAAAAAAATAAAGTAACCCGAGATTTTCATTCTGCTTCTGCAAAAGTTAGTACAATATTAATACGTATTTTTTGGTGCTTTCAGAAGAATGAATATTTCAAAAGAATGCGTGAATAATTTACACGAAAAATGGATGATTCGGTGAGGCATATGAAAACTTGAAAGATAAAAATAGAATGATTTTAACTCATGGAATTCAAGTAAAACTTGAATTGATTTGACAGCTTGACAGACGATTGACAGTTTGTTGATTTTATAATCAGAAGACTGAAAATCATACAACTAAATTGAGAATAAATGTACACCGTATTTTTTAAATAATTCGTATCAAATTTTGTAGTTATAGTTGGGAAACGGAAACATTGTATGCGCTTTGATAGCTACGCCGTTATCTCATGCTTATTTCCGTGTACAGTGGCCAGAAACATGGGCTTAGCCAGAAATTATAACAGGGAGAGAGAAGCAACAACAATACTACTACTACTACTACTACTACTACTACTACT